AGACGTGAATTATTTTCAAAATTTCACTCTTTTTATTCAAAATAGTCTCATTCTGAATCAATACATAGTTGGAATCGATTGAAAAGTTTTCGAAAACAGTCGCTGTACTCCTTTTGTGGAATCGCATTTAAAACTGCGGTACATTCACTTTGGATGTCCTGGATGGTGTCGTGACGGTCTCCTTTCATCGCCAACTTAACTTCTGGGAACAACCAGAAATCTGATGGAGCCAAATCTGGCGAATACGGAGGATGATCAAGGACTGTGATCCCTTTTCTGGCCAAAACATCGCGCACGATCTTCGATTTGTGGGGTGGGGCATTGTCGTGGAGGAGCGACCAGGAACCTTGCTCTCGGTATTCAGGTCGAATTCGAAGAATTCTCGCCCACAAACGATTGAGGACTCCGAGATAATAATCAGAATTCACTCTTTGACCTTCTGGCAGAAATTCATTGTGAATGATTCTTTTGGAATCGAAGAAAACGTTAGCAGTGTCTTTACTCGACTCTTTTGCGTGCGCACTTTCTTTGGTTTCGGCTTCTTTGGGCTCTACCACGCTGCAATCTTCCGCTTTGTGAGAGGCTCATATTGAAAACACCATATCTCGTCACCAGTAACAATCGAGTTTGTAAATTTTGTATCGCTTTGGGCCGGCCGTAACATGTCTTTGGAGTGTTCCACTCTGGCATGTTTTTCATCGCCTGACAGCGCGTGCGGTACAAACCGCTCACAGACCTTCCGTTTGTCCAAGTCCTCGGTCAAAATTTGATGCACAGTACTTTTTCATATTCCCAAAAGCTCCTCGATGAGTCTTGCAGAAACACATCTGTCTACTGCAATGATTTCGGTCACTTTTTTCACGTTTTCTTCAGTGAGACTTGTTCTCGGCTTTGATGCACATGGAGGGTCTTCAGTGTCCTCCTTGCCGTTACGAAATACAGCATACAATCGAACAATTTTCGAGCGACTCAAACAATCACTACCGTACACACTTTTCATCATTTCGTACGCTTCTCCGGCTGTTTTGCCTAACTTCAAACAAAATTTGATGTTGGCTCTCTGTTCAACCACCATTTTCCGACGAGCGTTAGAACAGTACTGTTACATACAAGGTCAGAACACATGATGCAGCGATGTTTGCGCTTTGAAATCATAGACAGCCACAGCTGAAATTTCAGGAATCTTAACGCTACAACTCGCCAACAGATGGCATTGCAGGGCAAAATTAAAAAAAAAAAAAAAAAAAAAAAAAAAAACTCCTAACGGATCCTGGGGACACCGTGTATGTACGAAGCTGACCACCAAATTACATCTGATGCCGAGGTTAAGACATGTAGCCAGTCCTCCGCTCCTCCATACGTCTTCGTGGTGCTTTACTTAGTTAATAAACATGCATATAAAATTAAAGATAAACAAAACTGCGTGTTACTGCTACTTTTGGCATGTCATTTTATGATAGGCGTTTCCCATTTAGACAGAGTTGTTTGTTTCTTAGGCCTGAATATTATCGGAAAAACGAAGACCTTGTGCTGTGTAACCGTTATTTAAAGATGGGTTTCGTTCCGTACGTGAAGCAGTCAGACCGGCAGATGTGAGCGCATAGTTCTTTAGCTAAAGTGTCTCGCATGTATTACTAGAGGTCATTGGTTGACACGTGCATGCCCGAACTGCGGAAACACCAGCTGTTGCCAAATTTAGCGGCGGTGTCTTTATAATTATAGGTTCAAGTAAGTGTTTCCTTTCCTTTTTGCACATTCGGACGGCAGCAGTAGGGCAAACTGGTGGCACTGACTGTATTCGTGAAAGTGAACATTGGTCAGCTGCTGGACAGTGGAATTTCAAAACGCGACTGTGCCACCTTGGAAGCAAATGGTTTCGAGCGATGGGAAATCCCACAGGAAGGTATAAAACTGTTGGTTGCGAGCCGTCCTCTTATGGATTTCGAAGCCAGTGGCGTAAAAATTTAAAGAAAATTGAAATAGGATAATGTTGTTTTCGATAATGACTTCTAGGAAGGTCTGGGTTTGCAGTTTAAGAGTCTGAGGAAAATATGTGTATCCGATGTTTATAATCTGCACGTGGCTGCTTTACAAGTCGATACTCCGGCTGCGAAATCGGCATTCATAATGAGATCATACTGAATTGTTATTCACCGGAAAAAGAAACACACACGCACACCTCCCGTTCCGTATGCGGTGTCACAGTTCTGATTGTGTTGCGCGGAAATGCCTGTTTGCTGAGTATAACGATCACGGTTATCTACAATAAGACGCTGTGTGTAAATTGGTACATAAGTAAGTACTAAGCTCTCGGAACAACAGGGTCACAGTCGGTCACTTTACGACCGGAGGTTTACCGCCAATCGGTTCGTCTTAGTGCCAAGCCCCTTGAGAGTCGCCCATATTTTTTGTTTCAACTGAACCCATGCGGTCGTAGTCCTTATGTAACACCCTGCCCGACGAGATGATGGTTCTGTCGTTTACAATTGCTGCTGGTCCTCGCCAGCGCAGTCATTCTCGGGTCCCGCGGGACACATGACCATATTTTACTGTCTCATATTCGAGATTTCGCGACTTTCCCAACCTGGATGGCTAAGTTCCCGTATTTTTATCCCACAGGAACAGGGTGGCCCAGTTTATACCCCCAGGCACTGGGTTCCATTTTCGTCCCTCATATGACTCGCAGGGCTACGGTGGAGGTATTCGAACCCACCTCCACTATGACCGCAGACGTTCAGTTAAAAATCTGCGGTCGTGAGTCTCAAGGGGCTTGACGCCAAGACAAACTGATTGGCGGCAAACCACCAGTCGTAAAGTAATTTTTATTTTTTCTTTGGAACAGAATTTTGGCACAGAAGATGAAGGTAGCAGGTTCCTCTGAAACGTACATATAGAGTAGTCAACGCTTCGGCCGTTTTAATCACAGGGAAAGGATCTCAGTGGGTAGTAGACTGAGTGGCGAAGGACGACCGGTCTGGACGTGACAGCGATGAGAAAATTCTGTGCCTTTATCGGGAATCCAACGCAGGGTGTCTTGACCGTGGCGTCATGTTGTAAGAAATAAAGATATTTGCGTTGTTGAATCTGTGAAAATTGAAATACACTAGCTGTGTGCACACAGTAGGCGTTATGGAGCAGCCACGAAAGTTACACTGTTGACATATCTCTTGCGAGGTTTGCTGTGTAGTCTCAAGGTATTTCGTGTTGCCCAACATTTGTTGTTGGAGTAAGTGGGGAACGTGGAAGTATTTAACTCTTGTATATGAACTACTTTCCTGTTGGAAAATGGCCTGAAATTGAGTTACACTTCTCGTTAAAAAGAACACGATTCAGAAGTAGCCGCTGTGTTTTCCACTTCTGTAATGTTTTTCATTGCCAGAACGTTTATTTTTGCTAACACGAGAGTTAATCTTGATTGTGTTCAAAGTGGAAGAACCTGTTTCGCAACTGGAATTGATGATTGAGGAGAGTTTGTTGGAAAAGTTTTGCAATGTTGGGGATGTTTATTTCATAAGCAAACTGTATGAAGTTAATTGATTCACTTTTTCTTTACGTCTGGCGTGCCAAGATTCCAGCACGGTTTGGGAGATAGGAATAACTCGGTGGTTCTTCCAATAATATCTCTCGGAGCAGTTATACACCGCTATAGGCTTCCTTCCAATTTGTCCGCCAGGAAGATGCCAAGACGACTGAATCACTGGTCAAGCATCTGGCGCTATATGTGCCTCAGTTCGCGTTAAAAATAGACATTAAAGGATTGCCTCACTTCTAAAGGGAACTCTTCCTTGGAGAATATTTTTCCACCTACAATCGACCACACTCGTATCCAAATAAGGCCTCTTTGGGGATGTATACAAATCCGGAAGTGGGGAACTCCCAAGATGTGGCACTGAGCAAGTTCTTTTAAGCGATATAGTTTCTGTCTTATATTCAGGGGACCCCGGTTCGGATCTCATCCGAAACGCCGACTGTCCTGAGTTTCTTCGTCACTTTCGTCGGTCCTTCCACATAAATAACAGGACGGCGTCTGAGTTGCTGAGAGCGTTGCGAAATAAGCCGCGGAACCTAGATTTAGCGGTATATAAACATTTCCAGCACCAGAAGAATTCTGTAAGTGATTGCAGTGTCAGTTTGGGAGGGAGATGACGTGCATGTAAGCTCTTGTGCCGAAAGACGCATGCCCCCTTTCCACGTATCTCGCCCTAATTTGGACCGATAGTGAATACATTTTTCGCTATAGTTAATATTCGCAGATGTTGAAAGTAGCATACTTGGCGTCTATAGAAAGGTTTCTGTGCTGAAATAAATCGCAGAAGTGTAACGGTCAGTTGTAACGGCTGTACACCAGTTCTCCCGTTGTTTTATGATTGTCTTGTCAGCGTTGTGCTGGGCATTACTTTTGTCTCTTGTGTTTTTATTCCATCCCCTCTTTACGTTTCAGTTACAAACATTGTGTATCAGGAATCAGGCCTTGAGACCTTTCGTGAGATAGGATTGTTAGGTCCGTACCCGCGATCGTTAAGCTGATAGGAATTCCGATGTTGGATGAAATGCATTGTTTGTCTGTGGTCATTTGCCCACACGACCTTTTCATAAGGACCGTGCCTGACCAAAGGCCACCTGTTCTACAAATTAGGGTACGTTATACCTCGTGTAGGCAACTTTACAGAAGAAAAGGCCTCGTGTACACCGGAAATATGTTCAAAATGGAATATGTTTGAAGAGAGCAGCCTTCTGGGATGTGGCGCCGTGTAGATATTATGTTAACTGAGATTTCGGAGAAACATATCGCCTCCATTTTCAGGGTAGAAGAAAATCCGCGAGTGAGGAACCAGCGTTAGCAGTTGCTAACATACTAATGTCGAGAATCTGTTTGTTTTCTGATCATGACGTAATGGTGTGTCACCGCCCGATAATGATGCACCCTCGTTCCCTTAGCAGATGGAGTATGCCTCGCACCTTGAATTTTAAATGTTAAAATTACGTTGTTGTTTTTGCAGGTCAGACGTGCATCCATTTAGCGGCCATTGGAGGTCACGTGGATGTTCTTAGGCATCTAGTATGGTTCGGAGCCAACATCAATGCTAGGGTAAGCATTTTCTAAGTCTTTGTCCGTATGATTTTATGACATCATTGGGTTTCTGCAATGAGTTGATCTGCCATATCGGTTTGTGAACTCTAATTACTTATAGCGCGTGAGATGATTTTCTTCCTTGTTGCCAAGCATCTCGTTCTGCCTGGTACTCTCTGAAGGTTATATTGACGCGTAGCACTGAACAATATTACATTACAATTTGCTGTTTATATACAGTTCTGCTTCTGCAAACACCATATTTGTTGTTAGTATTATGCATAGTAAGTGGCAGTGTATGCTCGTAGAGTGCAGAATGCTGATGAGTAGTCAACACTGACTTGAGGCAGTGATTGGACAAGGTGTCATCGCTGCTGAATTATCATTGCTACTACTTGTCCTGGTCGCAGAATGCTTTACCGTAGCCTCCGGGGAACTGAGTGGAGACACCACAACCCATTGCTGTAGTTCAGGTTATGCGATATGTACATTTCATATTTCTAAAAATTAATGTAGGGTCTGAGAACAACACGCATTTATGTGCTTATTTCTCATGGTTATTCATTATGCAAATTTTGTATTATGGACAGTTTTTCATAATGATTACATAGCAGATGTCTGAATTTCATTCAGATTCACGCCTCTCTGTTATGACTTGTGATGAGGTGAAGTTGATAAACAGCCCGTGGAATGTTTTTTTATTTCTCTGTATATTAAAAAGCACACAGTGCTGTCCAGACATGATTGATGACAGTCAGTACCACCAATAGGAGCCTGCTAATGAGTATGCCCAACTGGAATGGAGACTTATAGTCAGAGATTTCGACACTACCCGAAGAAGCAACATTTCACTTGTTAACAGTTTTAAATTAGAGCATTTTGACTTTTTTATGATGTAATCCACTGTTTTCAGCAGCATCTCTGCTGGGGGGAGGGGGATGTTTCGAAAGCACCTAACTGCCCCCGTACAACACTATTAAAGTAAAGGAAATAAAATCTATGGCCTTCCTTCTTTGTGCCTCGTAAGTACAATGTAATGTCAGTAAATAGGTCACGTATGGCTACAAGACGTGAAACGTGTGATATTCCAACCTGGAAGGAACATTCATTTCTCTATCAACATCCATACACTTGTCCCATCGCCTTACCAATGCGTCGAAACCCGTGGCTGTTTTCTCAGCCACTTCCAGCCCTCCGTTTCAACCCCTTCGTCGTCAACGAAACGTTTGCCACAAAGGCTGAACCGCTTTGCGCGACAATCACTTCCAACTGTAAACAACAAACATTTCTTTATGAACATCCTTTGCATCGAGTCCTTTTGCCCACACACAAAAAAAGCACAATAGAACGCTGCTCTTCGGTAGCACAGCCCTCAAATATGGTCGCCATTTTTACTACTGAAACCAACCTCTGAACATGCGCATGCACGCTTGTTACCTAGACTGTCATGAAGCTGGAGTGTGCTGTTGCCTAGTGGTACACATAGAAACCCTATTACGTCCATTACAGCTGTTTTACATCCATTTGTGACGTACTTACCGCCTTCTTCGTACGTCACCTTTGGACAGGAGGGAGGACTGTGTCATAGCCCAAGCGGTTATGCACCAGCTTGCCAGGCTCGATCCTAGGTCAGCAGGTGCTATTTGTGGTGACCGAAATGATGCAGGAGCGGCTTTTCTCCGGGTGACTTCAGTTACCCTTATCAGTTCTCATTCCACCTACAGCTTCACGTTCCGGCTCTGAAACAGAACTCAGGATAGCGACCTGCCTGTTATGGCTGAGACATGCAACTGTCGGCTTGCACCCCCGCACAGGCTGTTTGAAATCCTTGTCTCTTGCGACATTTGAGAGTTTGCGGGAGATGACTAACTCCGTGTAAGTTGGTAATCGGTACCTACATACTGCCACCATCTTCAGTGTAGAAGGTGGAGGCATGCTGTCAGCACTGTTGCTTATGTTTCTTCTGAACATTCTCTGATACTTGTCTGATCGAGAAAGGCCAAGGTTATGAACCTGGGAACTGCAAATGTGCAGACTGGGAAAGGCTGCTCTGTCCCAGGTTCCCTGCTGTCTGTAAATATGTCAGCTATATTTGCACGTTTTAACGTAAAGAAGAGGGAGAGATATATGAGGGCCAAATACAACTGATAAAAGAACATGCGGGAAACAAGAGAAGGATAATAATATACAAACAGGGTAAAGGAAAGGAAGAATTGGGGGGGGGGAGTGAATGCTGAAGATACGAAACTTTGGGTATGTGCTAAAACATAATTATCCTGTCCGGATCACGGGCTATTGGAGTTCTTTTGTGGTTTATCCCCGTCCGTCTAGGAGAGTGCCAGGGTAGCACCGCGAAATATGCGTATGTCACGGTCCATTTGTTCCACATTCCTCACGCATCACCAAATAATATTACAACATGACGTTTGTAGTTGATACAGTGTACCAGTGTTACAAAGTTTGGCTATGAGGCTCACTTATGTGTTGATGTTTTTAATGATTGCACAAACTTTTACCTAATAACCAAATTTTCTGTGCGTATGGTGCAAATATTGTTCGAGGGTTATCATAGAAGGTGCAGCAGCGTGCTGTGTCGCACTTATTGTTGTCTTAAACTGTTCAGAAGATTTCAGTGGTTGTCATTTTCCACGCATCTTAAGATTAAAACGGGATATTTTTATCTGTTAGTGGCTTAATTGATTCTTCCAGTAACTGTAATTTTTCGAGCGTGGTTATAGGCAAGTGAACAGAACGTTACACAAAAATTCGTAGCTTTGGCTGTAGGTGGAGGTGAGTGGTCAGTGAGTGGTCACTCGGGAAGAGCCCCCGATACTCAATGAATAGGAGGTTGGGTGGGTGGCATGGAAACTGAAACTGTCTCTAGTCGCGGAAATCCCTGACGCCGAGCAGCGAAACCCCAGTGCACCAATTTGGTTCTACAGCCTGTGCCTTGCTGAACAGCAATATCGGTCCATAGCAGTGCCGTCCACATTAACTGGTCCTGAACTCTGCGACCAGCTACTGAAACTAGGTCTTTCTCAGTCACTTGAAGCCGTTTTCTTATCACGAAGAATTCTGTCGCCTGGGATATAAGGCCTTGTATTCGAGTCATCTGACGTTTTGGAGGCTACATATTCCCCTGCAACATCAGTTGACTTTCACCGGACTACACGGCGTTATATACCAGAAGATGGAACCTTTCATAACAACCGCTGAGATAACCTCAGATCCTACGCAGTTTTTATCACGTTATATGGTGGATATTTTGGGGCGCCCTGTACCCGTAGCCATGGAATAACCCCAGAGCGAGAGAGCTGCCTGGCAGGCGCTGGAGAGAGTTTTCTTGATGGTGGCGGGAATGAGGCCGTCATGCAAGCACGCACATCAACCAACAGCTACACGCGGGATTTCCATGTTAATAAACGGTTTCCGGAACGTCCAAGTTTAGTGACCTGCTGTGGGGCTTCCCCGCATAACAAAACATTAGGTCTACTTAATGGGGGACTCTTTCGGAAGATGCCGTGGACAAAGCACATGTACAGGTGAACAAGTGCCCGGTTACAAGCAATTGTAGTCGCTCTGTGCCCTGGCGTCCGTGCTGTGAGCGGGATTCACTGTTGGTGTTGAGTCTTCTTTGTAATATGACTGGCTCAGTTCCCGTGCGTCGCGGGACATGAGCTCGCGAAGTAAAAATTCGTAACGAATTCAGGGCTGCCAAGTTTGGGGTGAATGGGACAGTTTTGCGAGGAGTCCCCAGAGGGATGCGGCATCTACATTGAGCAAGCATTAAAAACGCTGATAAGGACATGAAACTCGATTTTGAAAGACTTACAGACACGTTTGATGGGAGGAATTACAAGTAACATGCCAATATTTATGCTCTTATTTAAAATTATGTTTTAAATAAAATATCTGTGTACATGTAGAGCTGTAAATTCAGGTGGGAAGGAGCTTGGAATAGTTATCCAGGATAAGAAACTTTTTGTAATCTGCGTGTCAGTTCTGGACGCGTTGTTGATCGTTCGATAGTATTTGTGTGTATTCGGAATGCCAGTGTAGAATACACAAGTCAGGAAATGTACGCATTGCATAAGAATTCTTGCTTAAGGAACCGGAAAACTTAACGCCAGTAAAACGTGTTTCAACTTTCTCTGCAACGTTTGTTTGCAAAATTTCTGGCTACGAAAAACAGTTACGGAGTTACGCTCGAGAAACGCAGAAATCCACGTAGTTCTTCATATAAAGTGCCCATTATTTCTGTCTGCTTTTAATTCAAATTGGAAAGCATCGAATTTAAATAGAACCCTCCAGTACCTAATTTCATGAAAATCTATTCGTCGTTTGCGCACAGACGGACAAATGGGACGATTTTAATAGGCGCTCCGAAGGGTCAAGGAAAAAGCAAACAGAAACACCAAATAAAATGCCTGCCCTAGGCCCCACAAATTGCCTTGGTGGACTCGATGACATTTGCACTACATGCACTGTGATTGCATTAATTTGTGCTTGGGCTGACTGCAGCCTTTTTCGCGGTCACAGTTGCACGCTACGTGCTACATACCACATGTCCAATAGCGATGTAAATGTACTAAATGAAGTTTCTGTTAACGTACAGTGCGAAAGACACTGCTGTGTAGTTATGGATAGTGTCTCACAGAACCAAGCCGCAGTAGACCTTTAACTGTTGAACCCTGGAATTCTTTTACGTCGAATGTAAGCAGTGTCTCACTTGAAGTATTTGCAGACAGAAGTGTTCGTACAAAATAGTAATTTGTGACGACACAAAATGCCCAGGCATCCAGCGATATCAGGTAACTTCCTTGACGCAAAGACCGACTCCTTATACAGTGTCACCTCTATTTCTCGACAGAGTCAGTGGTGCACTTCAGAAGTGAAAACAATTCCAAGAGAAATTGCAGTGACAATAGAAAGTTGATGAATTGCCAGAAAAATAATATTGCAAGGCGGACATGAGCATGACGTTCAGACTTGCTGAACATTTGCCGTCCCAATGGCATGGTACACAGACACAGGGACAAGCACAAACCTTTGTGTATTCTGTTGTCTGCTGCTGATTTGAGAGAATTCTTGGAGCTGAGGCTAATACACGCTCCTCTGGTCAAGAAATTACACACAGTTTTATTATCACTAGAACCTAGCCTGAACCAGATGAATCCAGTCCACATCCCCACTCACTGTTTATGCAGGATCCGTTGAAGTGGCCTAGGAGCCGGGATAGCATAGTCGGTATAGCGACTGGCTATGGGCTGGACGACCAAGGGGTAAGGACTCCAGTTCTGGTACGGTCAAGAATTTTCTCTTCTTCATTTTGTCCAGACCGGCTCTAGGGCTCACCCAGCCTCCTAGCCAATGGGTACCGGGGGTAAAGCTGATCTCCGTCTAGTGCCGACGTCAAGAAAATGTGGATCTATATATCCACTTCCCCATACACCTTCATTTTGTTGTGCTTAATTAGTTAAGCATGGACAACTTTACCGTTATACCTTTACTATTGAAATAGCCTATTTCATTCATGTTTACTGATTAAAATTTTATTTGCATTTTTTTATTTCACGCATGCTACTTGTCCAACCTGCCCCTTTGCTCTTGATTTTATAGCTATATCCATTCCTTACGGTCAGAGGGCAAGGTTTGACACTCGGACAGAACACTTCTACACAAAAATGACCAAGCTAACAGGACTGTTATGTTACTTGACAGTCAGTGGGTAGTATATTATAGTGACTATTCTTTTGTTTCTGTTTGTAGGATGGTAAGAGTGGTCGAACGGCGCTGCACTATGCGGTGGAATATGGAATCCACAGAGTAACTAAATTTCTCCTTGGAGAATGTCTAATGGGCCCTAGAGGGTTGCAGCTAGAGTTGCCAACCTATGCAGGATACACAGCATACCAGTTGGCATCCTGCATTGACTCTGCCCTTGCAAGGGAATTAGTGGATAAGGGTGCGCTCCCCGCAAACATCCCCGAGGAAGAGGATGACTCAGATTCAGACATTAGTGATGAAGAGGTGAGAACTTGAGTTTGCTGCATATGTCCGTGTGTTGACTTGAACTGTTTGCTAACTCAGTGTTGAAATTTGAAAGGATTCACAAACATTGGCAGCTGAGATGTTCAGTGCCTGAAACCATGCTTGGTACCACCAGTGGTGTTCAGACTCGTGATATTGATACCAGGAAATGTAGCTGGCTGCAGTATAAGTTAAGACTGACTGGTTAACTGACTGGTAATACAGAATTTGAGAACATTTTCAGAGAAAACAAAGTGTAAGGATAAATGCTTTCACTGCAGTGGGGAATTCGTTTAATAGATTCAAGTTTCATTTTCGTTTTTGCCTACATATTTATTGAAAACACCCCTTATATAAAAAAGACGCCATCAAATCGGTGGTCCAAATGTGGGAATATTTGTTATTGCAAGAAACAAGTCACAAGAGGAACTTACATGTGTTTTTTTTTTTTCACTGACAGATGTACGGGATTTCATCTGACAAATATTTTAGCAGTCACAGAATCAACGGGGAGCCAATCAACATCAGTGCTTAAAATAGTATGTTCACCACATCAAAATGAATGAGAAACAAATCAATGATGCTTTGTACTGAGTTCTTAAATTGTAACTCTTGTAATTCATGTGCAAGTATCAGAAAGTGTTCCCTGTGTTGGATAGGTAGGCCAGAGAAACAGCCTTTGATTCTGATGTCATTGATAATATTGTGACCTCCAGAAGCCTTATTCCTCAATCTCCTCCCATTCCTTCATTACTCCTACTACTACTTCACATAATTCCAAGGTTGTAGAGGAGTGGGGAAATTGGTCAGAGCAGGAGAGAGGGAGAGAGACGATGTTTTAAATGTACAAGGCAAGCAGGCGTACCACAACAGTACTGTGTAGACTATATGCACAGGGTTCTGGGACATGATTCCAGTGAGTTAGTTCCTACATCAGATGGTATTGAAACTTTTTTAATGTTTTGTTCTACCCTTGACATAGTGAGCTAATGCACTACTAAGCAGCTCTTTTTTGTTTGATGTTTTTAAATTTAATGTTGCATTGCATTGTATTGTATGGTCTGCTGGAAAGCAGCACAAGCGTTGAATCTGGGTGGTATGTAATGTAATACCCACTCTGTCTAAGATTGTTGATAGGTATCTGTGTCATCACTTGAAGTTTCTTGCACAACTGATTTCTCCAGTTTTTTTAGTATACATATGTCTAAATAGAAGTTTCTCTGGTACTGGGTTATGTCATGCATGAATCTTGAAGCCTTGAGAGTGTACAGTTCCTTAATTTTGTGAACTGCATGTCATAGAGTCTGTCTTACAGAAAATATTAGCTAGAGGAGAATGTCTTCTGACATTACAAACAGTGTACAGTGTAGTTACAAGCAGTATTTACGAAAGAACTGCAAGTTTTCCGCAATCAGAAACACCAGTATTCCACCGATATTCGAACTGTCTGTTCCTCAACAGCTATTCAGTGTGGCCAGTAGATCTATAGCCCTGGAATATACAGGACCTAAGAGAGGAGATTCTGCTTCCATCCCAGCTTTTGGAAATGATCTCTCTGCCCTTTGCTAAGCCACCCTGCTTTCTCTCTCCTGCTGTCCATTACTTACCCCTGAAGTTTACACTGTTGTGGAAGTGAAGGCCCTTGAGTGACTGAGTATTAACATACTGGACAGAGTTATTCATGCAAGGGAAAGGAACTTTGTTCTTCCAGTGTTATCATTTTGCGACAAGAAAAGAAACAGCTGTAGCTATTTTGCAGTGCATACTAGAACCATCAAGTGTGAGCATGATCTGAGAACTCAGCTTACCATAGCAATATTGGCATTTTACAGGAGTAGGGTGGGGTGGGGGGAGAGCCCCCATATTGTGCAACTGAAGGCAGTGCTCTGACCCCTACTGTGGTTTTGGATCCTTTGGTCCTGTAGCGGACATACAGTTTTGGGCTACACATTGCTGAGATGATGGATAGGGATGGTGAATTCTGAATTGTTATGTTGAGAGCAATTCTGCCTTGTGTTTGCAAACTTATTATATGGTCTCATTCATGTGGGGGCAAAATGAAAATAAATATATGATTTGGTGCATGGCTTATAGCATTTTGAAGAATTGGAACACGAAGTTTCCAATACCAGGCAATGCCTTCTTGAATTCAGACTGATAATATCGCAGTTACAGAAAAGGGGAGACATGCACCAGAAGGCTGGTACAGCGTCATGGAAACAGCACAAGTAAAGAAACCACTCTGTATTACCCCAGAGTATGTCTGTAGACTTCGGTGCTGCGATAATGCATAGGAACAAGATTTTGGACAGTGCATCGCCTCTGTTTCATAAGGCAGCAAAGTTTAAAGCGTCTGTAGAAATGAGTGTAGCATATGCTCTGTGAGATAAGAGGTTTTTATGGCAATGACTGAAGATTTCTGTCTCTGGGATATGTTGCCAGGAAGCCTGAGAGATCACCAATGTTTTGGAAAAACAATGCCTCAGGGTGGATCCCTGAAGAGTGAGGCAGCACATGCCAGTAGATAGTACTGTTTGTTACACATTTTGGTCCAAGTATTAAGTACAAAATTTTTGTAAACTGCAGTGATTAATCTGACTTCACTATATCTGGAGTAAATATCTTTTCAGGTATAATCAACATATCTGTATAATGTTCTTAAAATATGTGCATTATGGGTCACAAGATTCATGCATGGAGTCGCATTGTAATTACCCTAGTTTAGGTATAAAGTAAAAATTCAACATTTTAAAGGTGTGAATTCAGATGTTGTACCAAAGACATGCTTGTTGCCACACAGCTTTGAGCTTACATACCAGGGATTTGCTATATACATTGATGTCATTATTTTGTTATATTGTACACTTATATATGCATGCTCTTTATTTATTGTATGATGCAGTTTAACCAGAGAAATGGCTTGCAAGTAGGGACTACCTTACGGTGAAAGCAAAACTTGTGCTGTATAATGCTCTCATGTCTGGAACAGAAAGATATGTATGTACCTGTACTAATTAATAAGTAGGACACATGATGTGGATGTTTTCCTAAATAATAATATACAAATGTGTTCGCCCAAGCTGATCGTTTAAATTCATCTTTGTTATTTATTACAGTTCAGGTAAAATACACTGTTGTTTAATGTGCCTTTTGAGAAAGTTGTGTGATATGATGTGTGTGAGACAGGGCACCAGTGTGCGCTGTCCCTCACAACAGTGACCAGAGTTAAACAGTGTTCTCAAGAATCTTAGTCAAGTTCAATCACTGCCTTGTAATCCTTTTTCTTACTTTTATTTTGTTGAATTTGGCAAATCAGAAAAGTTTGCACTTTTTATTTATGCATTTTCTTTTTAGATAGGTATGAATTTATGTATGTAAACAAATAGAAGAAGGACATTGTTTAACTTGCTGTGTTACTTATGTTTCAGTATGTAGCAATTCAGAAGTTCTTTAGGTAAATATGGATGCAGCATAGTCTTAAGCTACATCTAAATTTTTCTGACAGTGGCGAGTTACTAAATATTACTATTATTTTGGACTTTCATTGAGCTTCTTGGGCTGTTAGAAAGAGCTTTACTTGATCACTGGCTCTTTCTGAAGGGCCCAGTTGAGTAGAATCATTTCCTTCCATACCCCTGATGATGGAAACAGAGCCCATTTCCAACTTGTTGTGTTAGACAAGCTCAGAGATGATGTACAGTGTCCAGAATAATCGTTATGTTTACCACCAATCTTGTTTAACAATCTCTTGTTTTCATGTTTGAGTTGTATATATATAATATGTAACATTATTTTAGTAACAAACAAACTTGCATTGAATAAAATGCAGTGAAATAAATGGGGATTTATTATGTTAATCTTTGGTGACCTATTCCCTTACATCCTGACTGTAGAGAAACTGGATTGGTGCTTAGAGCTGTGTCAAATGATACAGTGAATTATCCTAATAACTTCTTTGAGAGAGATCTTCAACTGATTCCAGTGTTAGTGTTTTTATTCACATAACATACAAGGACAGTTCTACATAATGACATGCCCTGGAGAAAGTTTATTAATAGACTTGTGTCTTTTTAAGTATATCTAACATTTGAACTAAGGTGATCATCCTCTCAGATATTTCTCCAGTTGTATTTACATTATGAACACAAAATTTTGTTAATTTTGAAAATAAGGTAATGACATTAATGTTGCAGTCTTGCATTGAAAAACAAAGCATTCATGTTCTTGGCTTGCTTCTTTTAGTCTTCTATTTAATCCTTTCTGTTGAGGCGTTCAATAGGACTTATTGGGAACCATCCCATCACAAGACCTCTACAAATACAGAGTGGGTTTCGAAACCATTGTATGCTGCAAGAGATCCACCGTTGTGTCACTGCTTCAGAAGGCACCTATAAGTAATTGGTGTGTTGCTTGTGTTCAGAATTGCGCAGGCTGAGGAAATCAAAATTCAGTTGATCTTCAGAGTTGTGAATGCAGAGCAGGGAAAGTTTACTGGTGTCTTGTGACCAAGTGGATTGGCTCACTGTCAAATTCTGACTTGTATTTGGGAGGTACCCAGTTCAGATCTCGGCTGCTAAACCGGTTAACCTCACTGAGGATATTTTAATGATTTTCCTCAGTCCCAGGTAAATGTTTGGATAGAATCTTAAATTGGATTATGACCGTTCCTTCCAGATCCCTTATAATACCTTATTCACTAAAGTCCAGACAGTGTAATTAAATAAATTACTGCCTTGTTGAATGTGACGCTATGTGGTATAGTAGATATTTACCGACGTTTCGTGGGAGCGTGTGCCAGTCTTCAGGGTAGAAGAGAGTAATCTTCATTATTGTCTGCCCTAAGAATCTGACAGAGAATGCCATGTTTTATGTTCGGATTTATCCCCCCCCCAACCCAAATGCTTTCAAACGCTTCGTAAATGTTTAAAATAATCCGCATTTTCCACTTCCGCCACTGACTGTATATCAGGCTTTTCTACGCATCATTTTCTTTCTTGTGTTGTGAGAATTAGTTGTGTAACCAGAACTGATGTTTTCGTGTCTCATTCCCATGATTCAATGGGCGCTAGCTTGACAAATGTTAACTCGGTGCGAGGGCTGGGAGGAGAGAGGTAGCGGGTCGGCTGGGGATTCCCCGGGTTCAAACGTCCTCTGGCCAAGTCGGAAATTCCACTTCACTTCGTTTTCTTACTCCTTTTGCATACTGGGCAGACGTTGCAATAATGTAGGGACGAAAATTGTTGAACTTTAGCAGAATTAAGACCTAAAGCTCGAAGACGCGACCGGTTACACTATCGGTGTACAACCTGACGTCGCGAAACAATGAGGGACAACTAATAATAATGGGTTTTGGGTTGGATGATTCGATTTATTGACACTTCACATACAATCACTTTTAATCACAGTCAATTACAACGGTTCACAATAGCTGCCTGCCTAAGACTCGCTCCATTCTGACTGGACTCTTCTACTCTTGTCTTCTGCTGCGAATGACTTCTCATGTACGGCTGAATTCGTTCTTATCTGAGCGGCCGCTTATATAGTCTAGCGGTATCCAAGGAAATTATTTGTTGCTTACGCTCATCATAGAAAGTTGTTTGTCAAATGTTTGTTTACGCGGAAACGTGTTTTGTACTGAGTTGGTCTCTAGGAATCCACCTCCATGGGGGGGGGGACTCCGTGGTTTCAGTCCGCAAGCGAACTATACCGACCGAGCGCCCGCCGCTTGTCGGTGAAGTTAGTGCCAACTTTAGCGGATAGAGGGTGTCGCGTGGTCAACGAATCCCCACGGCCGTTAATTTTGGGTTTCTAGACCGGAGCCACTATTTTCTTGAAATAGCTCCTCAGTTTTCCTCACGAGGCTCCATTCCAGACCCACTACTTCTCATAAAATCTGATAACACCGGTAATCAAACCCGAGACCTCTGGATCTGTAACCATAAACTCTGACCACTGGACCACAGAGGCGGTCTAATTTTCACAAGAACAACAAAATTGTATTCATTGTGTGTAATGTATCGTGTATTGTTTGTGTAGCTTTGTGTACCGTGTTTTGTTTGAGCGTGGTGTGTTATTTTGTGTAATGTGTGTTATATGTGTGTTGCGTCTTATTGTAGTACCACAGCCACCGGGTAAAAACCCATTTGCAGTTAAAATAAATAATAATAAAAATTCCACCAAGCTCTCCTTAGCCAAGCCGGATGGCTGGGGTCTGTCATGCCGGGAATTCCTCATTGGCCATCATGTCTAGAATCGCTCTGTTATACCTGTGCCGCTTTCAGTGTGATGAATCCGACCATAGCTTGAAGCTTTCATCCCCATGTAGTTAGTTGTAAAATTGGGATGAGTCGGAGTCCCTTAGTATTTTGGCCCCATGTGATTCTGTTGCAGCCTAGCCCTTATGACATCAGTATTGGTAGGGGAAACCGGAATTTGTCAGACAAAACTCTGTCACTGTCCAATGCCGCTTTCTGCCGGCTGATAACCTTGTTTGTTTAAGTTTCTGGGGACCCAATTTAGGCTCAAGAACCCAGCCCGCATCCATTCTCGCGTCACTGAAGTCAATGCATGACAGAACAGCACTGGATTCAGAGCCACATGAATTACGAAGTAAGCCTATGTTCATGGAGGCCAAGCAACAGGACGAATTCCTTAATAGATGCCTATTTGACGTAAACCTATGTACGTACTCAGTGAGTTCCGCATAGCAAGACAGGGAATTTATGTGAGATCTACATTATTATTAGGCTTTCTCAATTAGCCAATTTCCGACTGTTACGTGGTTTTAAACGTATCATCATTTTATTCTGTTTAAAGTTTTGTGTCTCCGTTCTGCAGAGTTCAATGCTGGAGGCTCATTCTACAAGAGATGATGCTAGAGGTAAGCAGATGTGATTTGAGATTACTTGAGGGAGTTTCGGCACATGTGGAGGTATCTGACCACGAAGTTCCGGCAAATCAGTGACCGGAATGGAATGTTTGCAGGTTGAGTGGTCCAAAAATGACGTTTTAAGCTTTGCGTATTATTAGAGAGACGAAGGACTTAATTAGTATTAGACAATGGGGACACTTTAAACAAGGCTACTTCATTAACTTCATAATTAGCAGGTGTGCATTCCTCTGTACTAATCTGAAAAGCAACTGCGAATTAATTGAGTGGCGGCTCATGACGACGACGACAGTCCTCGGAGTTTCCTTATTGCAACCACGTGGAACTCGCCTGAGCTGTACAGATTTCAGCTAGCAGAACTTACACCTTGAGAACGACTGAAATG